GTGCGTGTCTCTTTAAATGATAATGAGCTCCTTATCACCCCGCCCCTCTTTTCTGTTTTGTATTTGGTGGTGCGTTACCATCAAAAACAAAACTCATCCACTGCGTCCTCAGTGGCTCTGATATCAGGAGAAAATGAAGACTCTTACGCCGGTTTCACACTGCAAGCTTGAGCTTCACGTCAGTGTAACTTCATCATCACTGCAGCTGCGGACTCGCTAGAGCATGGCTGCTCATTCGCTTGCGGAGTGAAACCGGCCTCATGTTCACTTTTACCTCCAACTACAAAACACCTGCATTGCTTACGAGACGTTGTTGCTACAGCTGCTCGAGCGTGGAGAAAACGGCGGACAGCAGAACTGGCTGAGGGCGGGAACATGCTAATACGGGACAGTCCGTCAGTCGTGGGCGGGGCCTGAGCAGTATGACCAAATTATGTTTCGCTGTATGACTAATTTTATTTCACGGTAACAATATATTTCACAATATAGTTATTTATATTCTGAAAATCGACAAAAGGGGAGTTTTATATAATAAATAAACTCAAATACATTAAAAATGAAATTACCTTGTTTGAATTTTTTTTTAGCTGGTAAATTTAGTAAAAACACACTCAACTTTTAGATTAACTGGCCCAAACTGAATGAAATCAAATGCAACTTGCAGGTGCAATTAAAATTTAAATAAGGTGTTTCTAAATTATTTTTAAATCTCATTTATTGTTTTACTTCAGTCAGTTTATAATATCGAAATATTTTAGTCATAATAAATTACATTTACTTCCTTTTAATTTTGTAGGACACTATTAATACTAGTTCTGTTGTTTAAATTTGTTCCCTGGTATCTGCTTATTATACTGCGTTTATAAGGGGCTTCTTTTGCTCTTTTTGTGATAACTGGCAACCCTTCCCCTGGAGCTTTAATCAAGAGAGGGAAGAGTTCAATAGTGAGAGCAGAAGTATGCAAACTGAACATTAGTTACTGTTAGTGCTGACTAAGTAGTTTAAATTATACACTCCTTATAACCACGTCTTTATTTGACTCCAGTCTTCTGCATCATTAACATGTGATCCGTTAATTTGAGTGTCAAGTTGAGAGATGTAGCGAATCAAAGGAAGTTATTATCGGCTGGTTCCGATCAGTGTATGATCGTTTGGAGTTATAAAAATATAATATGCGCTGTTGCATTCTCAATATTTAGTAATTATGGCTAATACATACCGTTATAATGCTCAGAAAATCAAAATGGCTTGATAATTAATACGGTTTAGGTTTTTTGGGGATTAAAAAAAAGGAGTGAGTGGATTTTTATCATTGCAGGGTGGCTGTGTCCACACACTGATCAGACATTTATATGCAAAAAAGTGAATTTTGCATCCGATGTCTCCTTTAACAGTGTCTCGCATGCGCGCGCACACACACACACACCTGGCTAACTGAGCAGCTGTGAGAGAAACCCGGCTTAGTAAGTCTAACAGTTTCTCCAGGAGATTCGTAGCTCACAACATACAGATGGTGCTCAAGTGGAGTATCTTTCGTTCCCTGGAAATACACCAGTTTGGTTTCTTCGTTGACCCAGATCTGCAAATGAAGATGAAGGTAAAGTGTTACCAACCATATGGGAATTTATGGAAGTCATTTGTATTTTAACATCATTAAATATAACATCAAACCTTTGAGCCGTGTCTGGCCAAGACTTCCCACTCTCCACTCGTTAAAGTCACCTCCTCCTCTATTGGGCATTTGAAATCATCTAAACAAAACATTAAAAGGTACTCATTAATATTACAAGGCTCCATGTTTAAATGTTGTTTAAAAGCACAACAGAGGCCATAGTGAAAAACGTGACTCTGCACAACACTACAAAAATGGCACTTTTTAATGTCAATGTGTCAATACAACATAAGCATGATCAAACAATTAAAATAAATAAATGAAATATTTACCACAAAATTTTAAATCCTATGATATAACATGATTTCGGAAAAAAGGACATCAGACACCTTAACTTAAAATTAGTTTTATGCTCCGCTAATATTTCCTATCCGCTCTATTAATCTACAAACACTATTATGGATATCTATTTTTCCTCCTAAACATGTCCTGTACAAACATCCTGACATGAAATTATAAAGTAGTATAGTGCATAAATGTTCGTTAGCTCATGCAGACATTGCTTGAGTACTGCTGTACCCAGCGAAATAGTTTAATAAATATTCATGAGCCATGTCTTCACCAGGGATTAAAGTTACGTCGCTACCACGGATTTCCGTCAGTTCATAAAGACAGTCACTAGCTTCATTCCAGCCCTTCGAACAAATCAATTGAATGAATGATTCAGTGTTAAAATCAGTGACCTGTTGCGGCAAGTCACTGATTTTATCACTGAATCATTCATTCAATTGAT